CTTCCTGCCCTGTTTATTAGAAAAGATGAGGGGAGATGTCTGTGCCTGTGTTTCCTTTTCTGCTTCCTCACCAATTAAAGAAAATACATATTATTTTCTCACTGTTGTCCCCATTTTATTAGATTTCATAAAGAACTGGCAATCATTACCTAATGCTGTTAGAGGCAAACATGTTTAGTCCTCAAAAAGGCATATATTTCTCTCATACTTTACCACTCTCCAGAATGATATTAAAAGAAGGGGGGGTAGGATTTTGTTGGTGGGTAAAAAAGAATATATGAAGGGATGGGGGGAGTAAGCTCTTCCTATTATAATTATAAAGCTGAGAGGTACTGCAGATGAAAGATTGTAAGGAAAATGTTATTGAATGTATGTATGTATGGATAGATGGACAGAAGGCTAGATCAATCAGAATAGAGCTGGAAGGGACCTTGGAGGTCTTCTAGTCCAACCCCTTGCTCAAGCAGGAGACCCTATACCAATTTTAAACAAGTGACTGTCCAGTCTTAAGAGAGCACAAAAACATGGAGAATCATTTGTAGAATGGAACACTGTTCTGGGAAATTGTGTTCCTTGTTTACATAGTTGAATTCACCTTGGATTTAAGGAGAGGTTGCTGCTCACAAGCAAGAAGAACTAGAAAACAAGAAAAACACAAGAAAAACTACATCAATGAATCTGCTTGGTGAGAAGAGACCCTTCCCATAACAAACTAGCCACATGGAGCACTGTTTCAAGCAGCCAGGGATTGCTTGTTCATTCACTGTGAATCACTATGACTGGTAACACAAATAAAAATGTGTCAATGACATGACATCCTAATGCTATATTTGGAGGACAAAAGGCCTGTTAAAAAAGATTCATTTTGTTTTTATATAAGAAAAGAAAACACACATTTTATATCTTTTTTTGTTTATATATATTCTAAGGAATTTCACAATAATTTCACATCATAAGATCCTACAGTGCCAGCTGTTTAAATTTCTCTCACTCCCTCATTACTCTCTAAGTAGTATATATGTCCTAAATATAAATCCGTTGTGTACAAAACAATCAGTGATTATCCCAGAAGTTGTTGGCAGATTAAAAGATCTAGAAGATCTGGTTTAAGCCTTAGTTTTCAAAGCTCCCTTCTCAATAACATTTTTTTCCTGCAGCAACAATTTTCATTGCTTGTGTTTGCATACACATATTTTCACATATCTCTTTCTGAGCCTGCAGGTTAGAGGGTCTTTTGTTTGTTTGTGTTTTGTCATTTTAATAAGACTAAAACAAATTCCCTATATCTGCAGCTGCAATTCTGTCCATGGGTGCTACTTCTCAATATTCATTCAATTTCTGCCTCCTAACTTGTTCTATGGCTTTATCTACCAAACTTTTGCAACCTTGGATTTTCAGGATTTAATAGCTCATCCTTTGAATTACTCCAGCTATTATTTTCTCAGCATTGCTGGTTGCTGTCATCCTTCCTTGTTGAGCTTTCAGATTTTAATCTTTTCTGCCTTGTGTCTCAGAAATATCAGGGCAAAAGTCACACAGATATTATCTCTCTTTGGGTCCACAGGCAGACTGCAGAAGTTATCCTACTAACATTTGGAGCCATCTTACCATAATTTGTTTAGTGGTCTTATTGCATAATACTGTTATTATAGTTTCTTCATCATACAATGTGTGTGTGTGTGTGTGTGTGTGTGTGTACTCTAGATATTATTACCTGAAGTGTAAATCATCAAAAGTGTTTTGGTATGGGAAGAATAAAATTGAGATAGTATAATGGCAAAGTATACATCATCATAAAGTAGTTCATTTGTATTTTGGCTGCTAAAATAAACTCATCAACCTGGGACATGCTACAGCATAGATGATTAGATTAGATTAGATTAGATTAGATTAGATTAGATTATTTTAGATTAGACAGACAGGCAGACAGATAATCTTGTCTCAAAGGTGCTTTTTCAAAAAGCAAATGGACTTTCTTTTTTCTTTGAGGAAGACATTTTACTTCTCATCCAAGAAGCTTCTTCAGAATTAAAGAAACTTCTTGATTGAGAAGCGAAACTTCCTCAAGGAAAAAACAAAGTCCAGTTGCCTTTTGAAAATGCACTTTTGAGACAGTCATGACCTGGATGACTGAGAATCTTCATAGACAATCATGCTTCCAGCCACAAAACAATGCTAGCAGAGGTATCTGACTTTTACTAACATTTTATTCATTTGTTAAATTTATATCTTAACTTTTCCCCCCAGAACTTCAAGTGCAGAGAGGCTTAGTTAGAAGAAGGAAAATCAGATCCTTCCTAAAAGTTCTGGGAGTATATTTTAATGATGCAAGTAGTTTCCTTTAATTGGGCAAGATTCTATCTATTCTATCTATAGATGAGGAACAATTAAGGAAACTGCTTAGAAGTAACGCTGTGTATCTGTCATGGTTTTGGAGCCTGATATTTTCACACTGGCCACATTAACTCACTACATTTTTCTAAATTTCAAGAAAGAAGGAAAGTAAAATCTATTGAATTTTGCTTTTCTTTGAGTAATATCACTTCAATTGCTCAATCAATCAATCAATCAGAATAGAGCTGGAAGGGACCTTGGAGTTCCCTTGCTCAAGCAGGAGAACCTATGTATAGGGCCTATACCATTTCAGACAGGTAGCTGTCCAGTCTTTTCTTAAAAATTCCAGTGATGAAGCACCTACAACTTCTGAAGAAAAGTTGTTCCACTGGTTAATTGTTCTTCCTAACAGTGGGAACAATTAACCAGTGGAACTTAATATTATATACAGTATTATCCAGAAAAATCACAGATGGTATTCAGCAGGTTCTGACCAGTTCTGGAGAACCGGTTGCGGAAATTTTGAATAGTTTGGAGAACTGGCAAATACCTCCTCTGACTGGAGATTTTACAGTATCCTTCCCCTGCCACTGAATCCCACCACTGAGGAAAAAATGATAGTTTCTTAAAAGATTGTTCCTTGATGAATTTAGATAAAGCTCCAGCTGAAAAAAAAGGAATGGAAAATAGTACTACACAGTTTGGAAATTCCTTCTGAAATGCTTGAATGCTTTGCATAGGGGCTGAGAGCTTTACAATGCAATGCACATGAGCACACCACTGACAGGGATAAAAGCATGGCTGGCAGGCAAAAATGAAATAATTCTCTAGAAAGGTAAGTATAATATGCAGAAATATAACAAGCAGGGTACTGCTGGAAGGCTGAGTCAGGAGTTTCAGTTAAATTTAACTCAGAGGTCTTTGAAGGCTGTGCAGTTTCTAAAACGGCTAAAGATAGAGATGAAATAGAAAGGAAAGCTCTTAATGTATTCAAATTGATCAGCATGGATTAGCTTTCCAAGTGATTAGCATGGGGAAATGGAAGGCAAGAAAGCTACAGGGGAGAATTCACTGTGCCTTTAAAACTGACCAAATTATTCCTTGCAATTTTATTAAATGGTTGAAACCCATCTTCTGCTTTAATTATCAGACATTTATCTCTGATAAAGTAATTTGTGCCTTCCTGGTGTGCTTTTATCAAACGTGTGGGTGGGGTAGTGATGAAGATTTTCTTGGACTTTTTTTCCCATTGTTTCTAAATTGCCAGAGTTTGAACAGAAATAGAAAATAGAAAAAAGAGGTATACCAGCATAGGAAAGAGAAAAAAAATACAAAGGTTTCCCATTCTTGCCGAATTTACTTCCATGATTATAGCAAGTTTCTTCTATACATTAAACTGTTATGGCTTATTCACAAAATAATCCAGGAGAAATATATCTTAACCAGCCTCAAACACCTTCAGTTAGCTACCACTGCACTTCTTGTGTGAGATACCTCTTTGAATAACATTTCTGAAGAAGTTTTTTCCACTATTATTCCTTATCTTTTAAAACAGAGATGGTTAGCCATTCAGTAGTAGGTAAGGTGGAATATTGAATTAGAAGCTTGCAAGCTTTTAAGGCCTTTCCTTCCTAGTGATTTATGGCATGTTGATATCAACTTTCAGCCATCTTTGAAATGAAGCACCCTCTGTTTTCATGTTGGTTATTTGGTAATTACCAAAAATGCTAGAATAGAAAGAAACTCTTTCAAAAGTACATAACAAGTTCAGAGGCAGGGGCTGCCAACATCTCTTCAAGGAACATAAATACTTCATGTGTACTTTGGCATTACATTCCCTGACTTTTTTCAAGGCTTTAGATAAGTATGTATCTCTGCTTTTATTACCCAAGTATATATACACATCAAGAACCAATAATACACATATTATTTTATATAATATATAAAGAAAATCTCCTTGTCTCAGGAAGCAACATTTATATTGGTGGTGAAACATGGCCAAAGATCTTTGTCCACTAAATATTACTAAAGTCACAGAATGCCCGAAAAGCAATAGCATTTCTTTTTTCCTTGCAACATTCCCACCCTGCCTGTTGATAATGTGTCAAAAAGGAACATACGTGGTGTGAACATACTAAAGATGTTCTCAGAGTTTTGAGACCTAAATGTTGGAAACAACATAGAAATGACATACTGAAATAATGGTGACTTTTATTTTTTAGAAATTGGAGAAAATATGACCTATCACTAAAAATGGTGCCTCAGCTAGCAAAGTTCTGGAAAAGGGATACTTTTATTTTATTTATTTTTTTCTCAAAGGACTGACTGGAGGAAAAACAGAGAGGGAGGGAGGGAGACTTTCAGTGAAATGTATGCAATTCTGAACCTTCCAGGATATGGTTTGAAAAAGGCACTACTACTATGAAGAAAGAAGATAAAATGGGAAAAGAACTACAGCTTTTAGTAAGCAGCATGAATCTCATGAATATCTGATGCTGAGGTATTTACATTCTTATTTCTGTAAAGATAATATAATTATCTATAGGTCTCTCAACTCTCTGGTCAAAATATAATGTTGATAAATGTTTTCACAAATAAAGCAACAGTAGAAAAAACCAAATTGTTTTTGACATGATACCTAATTAATTTCAATTTGAATTTTCCAGGTACTTCTGTTGTTCAAGTCACAGCCACTGATGCTGATGACCCTTCATATGGAAATAGTGCCAGAATTATCTACAGCATACTTCAGGGCCAGCCATATTTCTCTGTGGAGCCAGAAACAGGTGGTGTTGTAGTTATTGTTCTTAATTAAATATTTCTGCCTTGCCAGAAGATGGTATTCACATTATTGTTCAGCTGCATGTCATATTCAAAATAGCTTAAATTCTCTTAAAGTAAATGGGAAAATGTTACTTAATTACTATAACAAAATTCAGATCTGGGTAGTAATTGGGTAGCAGTGAAATTTTGATCTGGATTTACCCAAGAAATTGTTTTTTCCTAATCTGAACCTAGAGGAAAAGGGCTAAACAAAGGATTCATACCATAAAAATGGATTAATAATGACCATTTCAAGAATTCTGGGAAATTTTTAATATAAAGGAAATTATTTGTAGTTCAGGGTTGAAATGAGGTGTCCTCGTTGCTCTCTAAACATAATTGTTTTCTTGCAGACATCTGCAAGAAAACAACCATGTTTAGAGAGCAACAAGGACCCTAAATTTGGAATATAATTTATCTAAATCCTGTGCTTGGTACTATATATGATTTACATATTATCAAACGATACAGATATTTAAAATATGGTATATCTGAAGGAAAACCTGCAATTCAATTCTATAGAAAACTTCAAAAAGTGTTGAAACTTAATAACAGTGATATATATATGATGCATGGAATAAGTAAAATAAGTATCCAGTTTCAGAAAATCAGTGGAACTTAGCTTGAAAAATAGTTAAACTCTTTTGTAGTACTTTTGTTTAAGAAAGATTGTGTATGTGCAAAACTGGAAACTAGATAGCATGCCCTCTGAGGGAATGGTGATAAAAAAGGTGTTAGATTGTGCTGAGATGGACAGACTAACGTTGGAATTAAAAGAAAGAGGAGAAATGGAATATTACTTGGTCTGGAACACATGGTATAAATGGTTAGAAAATAGAAGTAAAGATCAAATATAAAGGTAATTTAAGAGGTACATTAAACGTAAAGGCAATATATATAGTTAAAGGAAGAAAAAGGAATATAACTGATATGTGTGTGTATATATATATATATATATATATATATATATATATATATATATATATGTATATGTATATGTATATGTATATATGAATATCAGCTACGCTGGAGCGCTGCAAAAATTGTAAATGTGATATAAAATAATGAAATATGTTTAATAAAAATATATTTTTAAAGCAAAAAAGAAAGATTTCCAAAACACCTTTCCAACTATTGCCCCTTTGGTTTGTTATCAATAGTATGCAAATTTTAAGCTATGTATTTCTTAAATAAGTTAGAAATGTGACCAATAGACTGTAAAAACTTGGGAACTCAGCAAGCTGAATTCAGAGCAAGTCATTCTATATTAGATCACTGTCTGATCTTATACCATTTCACAGAAAAATATTCCTGAGGAGTAAAACATAATCTTTTTGTGACTTAAAGCAGTTTGAGACTCTATTTGTGGAGTATTTTATGGGGAAAGATAACTGAATCCTGAACTGTCAGAAGGCAGGTTTTTTTTCTCATAATGCAATTATACTCTTAAGTCCTTTTGGCAGATTTGATATAGTCCCAATAGTGCTTAACTAATTCAATCCCATCAAACAACATGGAGGGAGAAAAGGTATGTTTTGGCTCCAGCAGTGTTCAAATTTTATATGAATGACTTAGCAGCTCCTTTGGAATCAGAAGATTTTCTAAACTAGCTGAAATATGTGAGCCATAACTATGTATATATCAATGTAACCATTGTGAAAGAACATTGTAGTTAAAAATGTAAATGTAATACTGAGTTATATTTCAAAAATATGGAATTTGACACTTGTAGACAATTCTGATCTTGTCAAGCCACGGGTTCATCTAAGATGGACTGAAAACAATACTCCAGATGTGAAAAAAAATGGATTCAGGAGATCTGTCACTTGTTAAAAAGTCTTTATAATGTAAAAATGAGAAGAGCAGTCAAAGACAAAGATTAATAATAGTAACTAAAAAAAAGGAATATATAGGAGAGAAGTTGGGTACATTGTGCATAATGAAGTGATAGTGGCATTTCAGATAGTTGATGAATTATACTTTCCCTTCTTTCTCAATAGTTCCCTGCATTTACTAAAATAAACACAGGAGGGAGTATGTTATGCAAAAATTATCTTCCTTTTTTACTAGTTTACTGCTTTAAATAGGTGGTTGTTCCTCTTAATATGCAGACCATTCAAAAATATTCCTTTAGTATCTGAACTTGCAGACTCAGAATTGCTGTTTAATGCATAAACTGCTACCTAATATATAATTACCACTATCACCTACTTATAATTTATGTGTTCAATGTATTCATTAAACTGTGCTTGACATTAAATATATATATTTTCTAAATAATAGACATATTGTTTCATACAGAATGATGACAAATTTTTCATTGTTTCTTTTTCAGGCATTATTAGAACAGCTCTGCCAAATATGAACAGAGAAAATAGAGAGCAATATCAGGTTGTTATCCAAGCAAAGGATATGGGGGGCCAGATGGGCGGATTATCAGGAACCACCATGGTGAATATCACCCTGACTGATGTCAATGACAATCCACCTCGATTCCCACAGAGTAAGCTTCCTTTAATTGTCCTTCTGTGCTGCAAAAATATCAGAATGAAAGAATTAGGCAACTACCATCTGGTTTAATGTAAAAAACAACAACAACAAAAACCTAGTTTATGGAGCACATACAAAAAAGGTTTTATCCACAGATTTATTCCCTGTTATTTTTTAAAAAAATGATGTGTTACAGGGAGAACTTTGTTAGAGAAAAATACAGTTGCAAAGAACAATTGCTTAATATTAGATAATTCTTAGCATAACAGCAGGGAACGATAACTCTTTCGCCCTCCCTCCTCCACAAAAGGAATGGAAGAAATAACATTAGTATGTAAGGGTTGGAAGTGACCTTGGAAATTATTTAGTTCAACTAACTACACAATACAGGAATCTACTGCTTCAGCATCTCGACCAGATGGCCATCCAGTTTATACTTCCTGCAAAGAAGGGTCTGCCACTTCCCAGGCAGTCTTCTCTATTGTTAATCAACTCTTACTGTTAGAAAAATTTTCCTGATATCCAGCTAAATTTGTAATTAAATCCATTGTTCTTTGTTCCCTTTTCGGGAACAATTCTACACCATCTTTTACATGATAACCAACCAGATAATTGAAGACAGCTATTGTGTCTTCTTTCTCTTTTCTCTTGTCAAGGTTAAACATATCCAAAGCTTTCAGCTGTTTCATATAAACTTGTGCTTTCCCCCCTTTTATAGGAACCTTATATTAATTGCTAATATATTAATTCTTTAATTAATTGTTCCCTTCTGAACATACTCTATTTTGCCCATTCCTTTCCTAAACTGTACTCTGAAATAAATGTTCTAGGAATAATCTGACCAAAGCAGGATATAGAAGAATTATTTCTTCTGAGCTTGATCCTATAATAGAAGTTTCAAGAGCACAACTCTGTTTGCTGATATCTGGAAATTAATAATTTAAGCAATATAAACCAAAATAAGAATGGGTAAAACAAGGGTATTTGAAAGATGACTACAATTCAGAGCAGGAAGCTTCCATTCATCAGACCAAAGCTATTTAAAGAAATCTTCAAAAATCCATAAACACAAGCCAAATGTATGTAGTTAATACATCTTAGAGTAGTAGAGTAGTAGAGATGTATGCATTTCAATTATTTTTTGAAAAAAAACTAAAAAAGTTTTGGAAAGAGCTGTTCTTCATCTACTCTTGTCTATTTCTTTCTCTTTATTCAGTTTCTAAAATCAAAAAACAGGATGAAGGAGTCAAGAAGGTATTTGGAGATCCATTTCCAATGTTTCTCGAAAGTAATTTTTGAACAAATAACAACAGCTTCTTTACCAAGGGAGAATTTTTGCAGCTGCTACATCACATTTTGAAAAGAAATCAGAGGCAGATAGGAAGGCATATTTTTAACATTTAAAAAAAAACAAAAATAAAACCATAGACTTGGAAAATGGCATTTGGACCATCAGGTCCAATCCACATTCAGATTATTAATTCAGGCATCCCAGGTGTATTCCATAGGTCTTTCAGGAGAGAGGGGTGAAGCAATCAATCTTCTATCACATTTTATTTACAACACACATGATAATGTTACAACTGCATGAATATGTCACAATGATGATGTTTTGTATTCCCTTCCACTCACAGATGCCCCCTGCCAGATGGATGGCAGTCTAGCCTCCACTTGAATATTTCAAGTGGGTATATCACGGCAGTACTGTCACTTAATTTTTAGTTACAATCAAACTATTGCAGTGATTGGACTTGATTTTTTAATTTATTTACTTTAGCTGAAGCTTATGACTTTGAATCATGAGAATTGGGCAGTTATCTTCCACGGCCTCTAATGATCCTTTTCCTCTGTAGTGATGATCTGCACAGTGTATTGTTCTTTATTCTTTCTCTTTGTTTGCCCATAGTAGGTATGACTGGAAAAGCCCAGTCCCTTTGCATAGCTTCCTTATGGAAGCTAGCCATTCACTGGACCAATTCATTTGACTGATAATAAAGGGGGTTGAATTTCTTTTATGGTCTCAGAAAACTGGTCAGTTCTCTATTTTGTGATCTCAGGATGCTGCTGGGACACACATATCACTTCTTTTTGTTTGAATTTCCTCCTTTCCCTTTAGTACAATGTATATCTATATATGGTTCTTCAGTTTGAGCTTAGAAGCTAAGCAGGACTGGGTCTGGTTGGTCCAGGGAATATTGGCTGTAAACTAGACTGGGAAATAGAAAAATATCATAGAAAAGGGCAGTGGCATATCACTCCTCTAATGTTGCAAAGTAAACTTGTCAAATCAGACTCAATTTGACAGCATATTTACTTTAATCTTATAGTTATATATGAACTTGATAAGATAAACTCTGTTTTTGCTATAAGGCATTTTTTTAAAAAAAATATTCTTCCTCCCCAATTCCTCTGACAGACTCTTTATTAATGACGCTTATATCATGTTAAAAGAAAATAAATGAATGGGCTTGTGAAAGAAGTTGATTCATGTAAGTGCTAAAGGCCTTATTGATTCCTTCTTAAAAGAGAATCAATAACATTCATGTCAAATGTGAAACTGTACACTTAACGGATCTTATCTCTTGTCTGATTTGCTGATTTGACTATGGATCAAGAGGACTTCTAAAATTGGAAGATCTTGCACAGTTTATTATCAGACTAGGGTTGTACTAGTATTAATGATAAAAAAACCAATCAAGATTGTGGGCACCTTTCTGAAGCCTTGTGAAGCCATTAGATCAATGATAAGTGTTCTGTGTCAAAAATAAATCAAGTATTTTTTGCTGGAAGCATTTCCACAATTAAAAATTAAAATTTTTGCATATCCTTTCTTCCTTTCTTTTCTTTTTATCCTCACAACAACCCCAAGAGATGTGTCAGGAAAAATAACATCGTATGGAAAATCTATTGTGTGTTTACAGGTGAAACTCAGAAAATTAGAATATCATACAAAAGTTCATTTATTTCAGTAATGCAACTTAAAAGGTGAAACCAATATATGAGATAGACTCATTACATGCAAAGCAAGATAGTTCAAGCTGTGATTTGTCATAATTGTGATGATTATGGAATTATCATGAAAACCCCAAATCCACAATCTCAGAAAATTAGAATACATTCAATCAATAAAACAAGTATTGTATATAGAACAATATCGGACCTCTGAAAAGTATAAGCATGCATATGTACTCAGTACTTGGTTTGGGGCCCTTTTGCAGCAATTACTGCCTCCATGCGGCATGGCATGGAAGCTATCAGCCTGTGGTACTGCTGAGGTGTTATGGAAGACCAGGATGCTTCAATAGCGGCCTTCAGCTCTTCTGCATTGTTCGGTCTCATGTCTCTCATCCTTTCTCTTGGCAATGCCCCATAGATTTTGTATGGGCTTCAGGTCAGGTGAGTTTTCTGGCCAATCAAGCACAGTAATCCCACAGTCATTGAAACAGGTTTTTGTGCTTTTGGCAGTATGGGCAGGTGCCCAGTCCTGCTGGAAAATGAAGTCAGCATCTCATGGCTCCCCAAATCAACACAGACTGTTGAAACTTCACACTGGACTTCAAGCATCTTGCAGTATGTGCATCTCCATTCTTCCTCTAGATTTTGGGTCCTTGATTTCCAAATGAGATGCAAAAGTTGCTCTTATCAGAAAAGAGGACTTTGGACCACTGAGGAACAGACCAGTTCTGTTTTTCTTTAGCCCAGGTAAGATGCTTCTGACATTGTTTGTTGTTCAGGAGCAGCTTGACAAGAGAAATACGACATTTGAAGCCCATGTCCAGGATCCATCTGTATGGTGGCTCTTGATGCACTGACTCTAGCCTCAGTCCACTCCTTGTGAAAGTCTCCAACACTTTTGAATGGCCTTTTCCTGACAATCCTCTCCAGGCTGCAGTCATCCCTGCTGCTTGTGGACCTTTGTCATCCACACTTTTCCCTTCCACATAACTTTCTATTAATGTGCTTTGATACAGCACCTTGGGAACATCCAACTTCTTTTGCAATTACCTTTTGAGGCTTTCCCTCTTTATGGAGGGTGTCAATGATGGTTTTCTGCCCAACTGTCAGGTCAGCAGTCCTTCCCATGATTGTGATTCCTACTGAACCAGACTGAGAGACCATTTAAAGGCTCAGGAACCCTTTGCAGGTGTTATGGCTTAATTAGTTGATTAGAGTACGACACTTTGAGCCTATAGTATTGAACCTTTTCATAATATTCTAATTTTCTGAGACTGTGGATTTGGGGTTTTCATGAGCTGTAAGCCATAATCATCTCAATTATAATACATCATGGCTTGAACTATCTTGCTTTGCATGTAATGAGTCTATCTCATATATTAGGTTTACCTTTTAAGTTGCATTCCTGAAATAAATGAACTTTTGCATGATATTCTAATTTTTTGAGTTTCACCTGTAAGTCTCCTTAGTTGCAAATAGATTTAGTTAAGTGCTCTAATACCTGCATAACATTATTTTTTGTTTTTGTTTGCTGCAGGACTTTTAATTTTAGTAACTGTAGTATCACAGATGTTTAGGTTGAATAGCCTCTCTCTTCTCCAGCATTTTGATATTAGTTTTATAATCTTTCCACAATTTGATACCTTCTAGAGGTGATGGATACCAACCTTCATCATTCCTAATCAATATAGATCTAATTAGAGAAAGTTGTTTTAGAGAATAATGGGATAGCCCCTGCATGATATAAGTATGATTCTATGTAAACTGCCTCTGCTTTCATAGCTCTCATTCTCCTTTTGCAAGGTGGAGTGGAGAATATTTTAAATATTTTCCTAGGGAATCAGAAATATTCCCAGAATTATCAAGAGTGGGAGGGAGCTTCCTGAAGAGCTACTTAACTTGACTGTAACTGGAATTGGCAACCGATAAGGTTTCCCAGTGGGAGTATCATCTTCCCACCTTATAGTGCTATTTGAATGATGTCATATCCTATTATCAGCATCAGGAAACATTATATATGAAAAAGGTTTCTTATGATTGCCAGCTGTGTGATTCTTT